ATATTTTTTCTCAAACTCAGTAATAATTCATCAAGTTTAAACAAAGGAAATCATGACCGTGGCGGTGTTTGGATATCTGATCTTAATTGGCATAGATTTTTACGATTTTATTTCTCCGTTTTCTCCTTAGTTTTAGTTTCGATTGAGAAGATATGTCAAACACTCAAGACAACATTTGACCACATTTCCAAACACCTTGAAGTTTGTCAAAAATACTCAGCTGCGCATCGTATTTTCGACTCTCTTCTTGGTGTTGGAAATGTGGTCAAACATGGTCTTTCATGTTTGATATATTACTTCAGTTTATTTGAACTGAGAAATAGGTAGGCTGTAAACATTATAAGAGTTACATTTTTTGAAGTTTTTGTCGACAAACACAGCCAAGTAGCCAGTGACTCGATGACTCACAGCTGCCGGAGCTCCAGCACTAGCCAGCTTCTAATAAACACGCTCGCTAACACACTTGCGAAAAAGCCCAATTTTGCAGCAAAATTACATACAAATAGACAGAGATAAAGAAGAATGAGAAATTCTCAAGTTTGTGAAATCGTAACATCATTTCTACCTTTATAAAGAAACTAATTTTCACGAAAGAAATCGACTGCCACTCAACAGCTCCCAAGACCGATTAGAAAACAAACTTGGCTAGTCACCAGTGCTTTTTGGTCCACAAGATGACACCATGTAGACTGGTAGCAAGTAATGACAGCCATTTCCACGCAACACACATTCTTCTCATTTGTTAGCTTCCAAAGTTGTTTTTGAAGAAAGAAAATTTATTTCAAATATTATGCGATTCAAATACAAGTATTCCAGCTACTATTTTTTGATGTGAAAGATCTACTAAATAGCTGGCAACAAATGATTTTGTAACAGCTAGATTGATACTTGAAACCGTATTGAATCAAAGGGTATCTGGAAACTAAATCGACCATCCAACCCCCCTCCCCTCCGGAATTTCCTGGGTCTTTGACTCCCCACCCCACCTCACCCAGACGCTGGAATTTCCAATTCCCTCCGTGGTGGGGGTATGGATATTTTCTGGAATCACACAATCTAGTGTTCTTTTGTGTGGGGTGTTAGACTATTTTTTTTCGTCAAGTCAAGTCAATGATGTTGTGAATCTGCAAAAGCTTGGAACATTGACTACACTAATAAATATTACTAACTTCTTATTAAGCGAGAGTGAGGTCTTTACAGGAAAATCTCAGACCAAGACCTTGCCGTATTGACTGAGCGATTAAGCGAGGTCAATACAGCAAGGTTGAGGTTTGAGATTTTCCCATAAAGATGCAACGTTCAAGGTTGACAAGTTGTTT